TCCATCATATCCGTTTTGGGGATGATTGACAGTCCCTTGTCTTCTATAGCTTTTATTTTATAGTCAGTATTTCTACATGTGCTATTCTTTTAGGCTGGGCAATCTAGCATCACATAATTTAAAGACGTATTCACATTGTGTTTTACCGTTGTTCTTAAATTAAATCATTACTCAAAGCAGTATTAATGGTGATTTTGAATAAACTATCTTAGTTCATATGTTTTAATCGGCTGCTCCTTTTTGAATGCCTAATGCTTCGTTCATTCGTATCCATAATATATAATTACATTCATGTTTTTATTTTTTCGGTTCGTCTAACACTTGAGAGAAAGCCAGGTTTCTAGTAGGTTTTTGCCACTTCTGATGAATACTTATTCTCCAATAATAGCTTGGTAATATCTCTCATTCTTATCTTCTTTATTATAACAAGCATCCCTTGACAGTGAATTATTCCAAAGCATTGACTGTCCTAGTGATCCATTCAAACCAAAGCTATTTTTTATTAGCCTTTGATTATAAAGAAATTGACGTTTTGAGTTGATAGTGAATTATTCACATTAGTATTTATCTAGTTTTGTTGAGTTTGCAATGGCTTATCTATTTTTTGTTCAGTAAACAAATAGGCAGGATTTATGCTGATTGGCACATTCATTAGCTGTTCATTAGCTCAATACTCTCATTTTATTCATTAAATTGTTTATGATGTTTATTTTATATCAAGCCACTCTTAGCAGTACATGCTCTTAAGCAATTGATTAGAGGCTGATCTTCAAAATGAAGAGAGAATTTGTCGAAAGCACAGTCTTTCATCTTGCTTCTCAAAGAATAACTGCAACCATGATCCGGTTTATCGTTCGCTGTTAAAATATCAAGTGCCATGTCTGGATTCAAGGATTAATCTCAGTTAGGTGCTAAAAATACATCAGTCTATAAGAGCACCCAAACTCTTTTATCACTAATCGATCTCATCTTTTGACAGTCCTGGATTAACGTCCCTTCATCTCAGCCTTACTATGCATAGTTTCTTGTCTATCATGGGCCTAGTCTCAACTCTAACCTCATTATGGATTATCATTAGGACCAGTTAAGAATTTCTCGTAAAATAGTTTGTATTTACTTCGTTTTTTATTTCATATTTTTCGCGGTCTTATTGAGATATATGACTAAATCATTTGTTTTTTTATTACATTTCGGTTCCTCAGCAAAGTTCGTTAAAAAAATGCAGGACTTTAATTTATTTCCAACCTATCCTCCAGTCTGTCGTTGCTTTTTTCCAAACTGCTGTTTTCTGTCTCTGCTTTGTCTTCCGTTTGAATTATCATGGCTCTGCTTACACTACAGCTCTGATTATTACACTATTGGACCGTGTTATTTTTAAATTTTGTATTTGCTAGTCGAATTTAAGATATCTCATTGGTTGTAGTATTGAGGTATTTTTGCTATTGGCAGGGTAATTCCAAGCATATATGGTATCATATCACAAGGGGTTTTGGGGTAGCCTTTCCTAATCGTCAACATGATAATCTCAGTTAATCTAACTTTTTGTGATCGCCGTCACCTCGCCTATTATTAATTCTATAATTTCAATCAGTTTAATTGGTCATTATGATTTGTTGCTCACTAAATGTCTTAATTTTCTCATATACATGACCCCAGCACTTCGCCTAGTTGGTTTATTTCTTTTCTGTTAATTTCACTCCAACACTAGTTGATTCATCATCATTTATTTAAACATGGATTTCTCTTTGATGCTTCCTTGACTTATCTTAATGTCCGGATTTATGTTGAGCTCTTGTTTCTTCTCTTAGTAACTTGCATTATTTTTTATTCAGAACAATGCAGGGGGCACTTTGGCTCTGTGCATTGCGTTCGCTTTTCACCTGATGGCAGGCTATTCGCTAGTGGCAGTGAGGATGGTACAGTGCGTCTATGGCAAACCACAGTCGGAGAGACTTTTGGTCTTTGGCGCTATGTTGAAGCTTCACCCAAAGCAGCCATCCCTTCAATGGAGGTAATGTCTAATGAAGATTCACCACAGACAAACTGCTCTGTAGAGATGCCTGTTTCGGCAGAACTAGATCTTCCTGTCTCCATTTAGCTCCTTCCTGTTCTTTCGATCTAATCTTTTTTATGTCCGAGTGAATTATTGCTTTTCACTTTACCTCTTGAATGTAAACGATTGCGACAGCTCCCAAGCTCTTCACATAATTTGGTGCATCGGAACTTTAGCCTAAATTGCTTGTTTAAGGGCAAATTTTCTTTTAGTTTCGGTGTCCTCTTCGCAAACATCTCCTTTGACTTTATTGACATCAAACTTGTTTCTATATCCAGTTTATCTCTTCTATTTTCTATTTTGGTCTTTTGCTCGCCATTTGCTATTGCTTTATGCTCATCAAGTCGGGTAAACCTAAGCCTTTTGAAGGATCCTACTACATTTTTTCAAGAAAAATGGTAAAAAGCATTTGCAATTCCTTTCGTGAGCACTCGGTAATTCGGCTTGTATTGCCTATCCTAGAATATCTCTTCTCGACCTATACAAAATGTATCTTCCTTACAAAGGAGGATTATGCTATAGTCGTATGAAGGAGGAATAAAAATCTAGGCTTGAGCACAATGCTTTTTTGCCTTCTAAAAACATGCATTTCGCATATCCTGTCGTGAATGGCTTGTCCGTTCAAACTGGATGGAACATTTCAATAGCTTATGGCGCTTTTTGAAGACAAATCACATCGAAATGTTTTTGAAGGTTTCGTGATTTGACGTTGTC